TTTTTTTTTTTTTTTTTTTTTTTTTTTGTATGCTATAAGCTGTTTTATGCCTTTGTACTGTCTTAATGTACCATATCCCAAGTTGGACATCAAATATAATCAACATAAAATGGAAATTGTATTTCACACTTTATGGCTTTGTTCCTTTAAAAGATAGACACACAAAATTTCATTAAGATGATGGAACACTTCACAGTATTTTAAAAATGGAAAATGTTTTTCTGCTTGGTACTTTCTGTTTCAATCGGTCAGATAAAATATATCAATTCTTTGCATAAAAGTAGGTGCAGATGCAAGACTGCAGTATTGAAGCATAAAAAGGCACAGTTTCTTGTTATTTTGTCATTTTCTCTCTCATAGGGAGAGAAAAGTAGACATCAGATATCTTGCACAGAAAAAATCACTGCTGTTGCAAAATAACTCGGATGTGCTGCAATTGCAGCAGCATGTGAAATCATGCTACAGCATGTGAAAAATGGGATGGAATTTAAAGAGAGGGAAAAGGCCATCAAGTGAGATGGTAGAAACTTGAGAATATAAGAGGCAGGGACTCAGTTAATGGGAATTAACATGAAATCCATGGCACTGATGGTTTCTTTTTCTAAGTAGCAGCCTATGCCATCATTATTTATTCAGATGGCTGACAGGATGAGTGCCTTTGTATTAAATATTACAGAAACCTTATTTAATTGCTCTGTTTCAAAACAGGAGATAAAATGAACCTTAATCTCACTTTCAAACTATAGAACTTTATCTTTGAACAATGCTTACTAATTTTTTAATGCTTTGAATTTTCCCATCAGACTTCTCAAGGTTGTCAGTGTTTTTACATTGATGATCAATCTTACTTTCATTTTATATTGCGTCACTGAACTTGGTAATTTTTCATTTTTTACTTTTTTTCATACTGCATGTTTAATTTACGTTGCTTCTTGGAAATTATTTCCCTCAGAAGAATGCTATCTCAGCAGGTATCCTGTGCACATGTTCCTGCTACCTCTGTCTCTTGCTGAATTCTGATCTTACAAAAATGCATAAACCACTGCTCTTACTGCAGAAAGTATATTGCTTTACAGGCTACTATAGTGCTACATGTTACATATTTTCAGTATGTGGTGGATTTATGGTGGTCTAAAACTTGCAATAAATTAAGTACTACTTTTCATTATTGATAATTAGGTAATTGGAGCTCTTTAAGGTGGTGCAGATATGACTGAGGTATGTGGGAGAATAGTGTTAAAATGTAAAAGGAATAATGACCACTCATTTATTTGAAACAGAGGCCTATTTATTTTCTACTTGCTTTTACTTTCACAAGTTTTATAGCAGTTGTAAATGAATCATTTGATGCTCATATCCTATTTCTCCTCTGGTGTTGCAGTGTCTTCTCTCTACAACGGCCTTTGGACAAGGAGTATTTTTCATTACATTCTTTGAGGGCCAAGAAATAGGTAAGCCACCTAGTAAAAAAATAAATAAATATATATTATTCTTTCAAAAAAATTAGAGTTGGAAATGTTTATTTTTTTCTGAAAAAAAAGATCTTTAATCGCAAGTAAACAGGGTACTTCATAGTGGAAGAGAAAAGCCTTTTAGGACCTCTTGAAAATCAAATTAAGCTTGTGCCACTTCCTATCAGTAAATGAAAGTGGGCTTAGAACTGCTCTTAGAACTGCAATGCAAATGATTGAAAATCCTCACAGATGTCAGTAACATCTCCTAACACTTGTTCTCCAGTAAGGATTTCTACAGATAATTTTTTTGAGGAAGATGTGTGTGGGTTCACACGTGCACTTGTGCATAACATGGTAGAGGTTGATGTAAACAGTATGGTACAGGGCTAGAACAATCTAAGTTGTTCACTATCAGTGTGAAGCTAGCATAAATGTTTAACCTCTATGCACCAGAAAGTAGAAGAAAATGACCTTTGGTTAGTAAAATATTCTGTACTTTTCTCCTTTGTAACCTTATTTGTACTCAGCCAGACTGTATGAGAGACAGGTAGTGAAATTTTCCCTTAAAAGTACTGTGAGGGTGCAGAAATGCATGAGAACACTGCACTATCTTTAAGTCCTAGGAAGAAAAAGTACTTTGGAAACTTGCTAAGCACAAGTGAACCTGTAAATCCCTAAGCCAAGTATAGAAAAAAATGTAATCTCTTCATTTTGTCATTAGTGAGGTGGATTGATACTAATAGCAATACATATTTCAAACCACTAAGTATTGGGAAAATGTCATAATTATACAGAGGTAGATGAGTGGAAGTTTCTTGCAGAAAATACTGAAGATCTCCACTGGACACTTCCATCAAAATGATTCTTCTTTATCAAAGAAAGGGCAAAATATGCTGTAAAGAAAGCCAAAGTGCTCTTCTTTAGAACAGGAGAAAAAGATTGCAGAACCAGGATCATGACCCTTTGTACTGCAAATGAAAGTAGCATTCCCCTCCCCACCACCCCCCTTTTTTTTAAGAGGAAAAATACAATGCTACTATTTGTTTACTTCTATTTTATTTTTCCTTTCACAAATATGATGGCTTTCTGTGGTGCTGAAGTTTTCCACTTTTTTCTTTTCATGTCTTTGCAATTGAGCACTTTTATGAAGCAATTATTCAGCAAGCTTGTAGTTTCAGTTTAATTCTAAATACACTCAGTGCACCCAAATGCTTGCCTCTCAGTTAAATTTACAGTTTTCAGATTTAATATTGTAAAATCTTTGTGTAACCCATTACCTGTAATATCAGCAATATATGCTAAAAAACTTTTTTTGAAGTCCAAAAAGTTTTTTTGAAGAAGTCAGCACCTGATTTTGTCAATCATAATTGTTATTCTTTTGCTTAATTAAGGGCCATCTAAAGCTCTATAAATAGCCTTTCTACTGAAACTTCTCTGCATTTTCTCAGTAGCGGTGTCACCTGCTGTTCTAAACAGAGGCTTGAGAGGCATAGCAATTTATTTCTATTCATTGTGATTACTGTTATTACATACTTTTTATTCTGTCAGTGCTTAAATACCCAGAAGTGTATGTTTTTGATGTTTGTGATCTTTAATTCTGTAATTATTTATCTTTGACCTTTAAAAATTATTGCTGTTACTACAACTACCAGGAATTCAGTGGAATAACATGTACCAGCCAATGGTGAAAGGAGGATACATGACCTTTGGATGTACCTGCTGGATAATGTTCTTCGACTCCATTTTGTATTCTGTAGGTGGCTGGTATTTCAGCAATATTATTGTAGGTAAGAATTCTTTTGATATTTTTGTAGCATCTATAGGTGCAATTACTGAATGGAATTCATGGAGATGGCTATCTTCATTGTACACAACTAAAACAAAACCATGTATTTTTTCCAAGTAAGGCTTTTATGAGCCAAAACAGCCCAATTGCACTTAGGAACTGGTAAGAAAGACTTTTTTCTCAGTAAGTATTGAATAGTACTGGAAAAAAAAAAAAAAAAGAAAAAAAAAAAAAAAAAAAAAAAAAAAGACTAGATTGTGTAGCCAACTGTGTAATCAGCCTTGTTTATGATAAATATAGGATCATAGAATTATTAAGGTTGGAAAAGACCTTTAAGATGACCTCTTCTAACCGTCCAGCTACCACCAATACTGCCCACTAAAACATGTCCCTAACCACTAAGTCTACTTGTTTCTTAAATACCTCCAGGGATGGTGACTCCTCTACTTCCTTGGGCAACCTGTTCTCACCACTCTTTCTGAGAAAAAATTCTTCCTAATAACAACCTGATGATTTGTAGAATCATAGAGTTGTTTGAGTTGGAAGGGACCCTAAAGACCATCTAGTTTAAACCTCCCTGCTGTGGAGACAGAGTTGCCACCTACTGTATCAGGTTGCTCAGGGTCCTATCCAAACTGGCTTTGAAAGCCATGGGACGTCCACAGCTTTTCTTCTCTAGTCTGAACAACCACAGTTCTCTTAGCATTTCTTCTTAGCGGAGATGTTCCAGCCCTGTAATGCCTTGCTGAATGTTTAAAGTTTCTTTCCTCTGATATGTGATATGTGTCAGATTTTCTCCTAGATACTCTGTATTTGTTAGGTGAAATGGAAACATTGATCTTGGTAGACAGGTGTGTGTGGAAGGTACACTCAAATGTTACAAATTTTAACTTAAATCGATACCTGCTATTCAATTCAGTATCACTGAAATGCAACTCCAGAGAGTTTGTTACGCCATTGTTAAGCTAAACTTGGAAGGACCGGCTAATGTCAAAGTTTGATTTGTGTGAAAGGCCATGCTTTTGCCTGTTCTGTTTGAGTAAATAAATGTCTTTCATCTTGTCTAATTTGCTTAAATTATGCATGTAATGATGAAAAGATAATGATTGGTGCAGGGGATTATCGTAAAACTGTTTACAATAGCAGGCGGTTTGTTGTACTTTCCATTCTTTCTAAAATAAAAGATCAACTGATTGTGTCTACATATTGCGAATCTCCTAATTCTCACTCACCTTAGACCTGGTTTGGAGATGGTGTAATGTGCAGAATTTCTGAGATGTCATAATTTTATAGCAGAATTGGGTATTATGGCCCAAGAGACTTTTTTTCCCACTTCGTTGAGATTTGTTAAATTCATCTAAGAGTTACTTAAATGCTATAGCAAGCTCTTTTTAATGATAGGATATTACTAGCCCATATACAAATGCAAAAACAAAACAAACAAACAAAAAAAAAATAAAGAATTTTGCAACTCTTTCTTTTTTACTATTTCATGTAGGAAAAAATGGACTAAGGAACTGTTGGTACTTTCCTTTTACTGTTTCCTATTGGAAGAACCTATGTGGTTTACAGAGGATGAGAAAACATTATCTGAATTCTAACATGTTTTTCTTCAGTGAAAACTTCAAAGAGAAAGGTTTGTAGTCATGACAGAATTTTAGTAAATATTCTCCTGTATTGTTTATCGATTTTGATCAATGTGCATTTATATTGCTTGGTTCTATACCTTACACTTTTAGAACTTATACCTTTCTCTTTTCCATTACATACTATATACTATGAACAATATATACTGTTAATTTTGCTATCACATATAATACTTGAATGGTTCAATTAAAACCATTAAATACAAATGCTTATGAAAACTCTTCAAGAATATGTAAAATAAGTATCTCTAAGATTCATCTTGTCTCTGTATTGCCTTTTTGTTTTGTTAGGACAACTGGAGGTTCTTTATACCTTTTTATACTGTTACTGAATCTGAAGAGTCTTTTGCTTTATTAATTTTTTTCCTGCAGCAGAATTTTCTTCCACTTCTACTCCACCTTCCTTATGGAAAGAACATAACTTTCACTTTTTTCCCTTTCTGATTTTCCTCTTCTATTACCACTCCTTTTTCTGTCTCTGTTTCTTAGCTTTCTTTTTAAGAAGATACTATTGTAATTATATTTTTATTTGCCTTCAAATGTTTTCTCTGTTCTTCTACTTTATATTGGATTACTTAAAATTTAGATCTCTTCGACTTTTTCACGTTTCATTTACTATGAGTGAAGGAGTAAGTCACCTTCCCCCTCCTATATTCCCTATTAGAACAACATGATGAATTGTCATTTTTGTTTCAGAAGTTGCAGTAGCTTGGAAAAGATCCAGTTTATTGCAGTATATATGAAAAAGCCGAATTATTCAACAGTTTTATGTTCTGGTCTTTCTTAAAACAGTGTAAATTTCAGAAAGTCTTGAGATTCTTTCAAGTATTTGTGGATGAACCACTCTGAATTGTGCCAGAATAGCTGCAATTTGGAACAATTGCATTTTATTGAGATATGATAGTCTTTGAAACTTAAAATGAAGACTTTCAGTGTTTACTGTTGGATTTTCCCTACCCACTGTGTAAAGAGTTAAAACTAGTAACTTGTGAAGTTACTAGTATAGAGCTGATCTTTGACTCAAGCCACCCAGGTTACTGCATACAGCTTTGTCAATCAAGTAGTCTCACTTCCACACTCTTATACATGATGCATGCCTGTAACCTAAACTGCCCGTACGCAAATTCTAATGCTGCCATGCATGCAAATAAATGTGCTCCATTTCATGAGAAATGAGCTTTATTGTACTGATAATGGGATAAGTGCGTTCCTGGATAACTAGATTTCAATAGCAAAATGGAAGACAAGCTTCCCATCATTGATTCTGACATTTGTTCCACAGAGCACAGTTAAGAGCCAGTTCAGGGGCAGTGGAAAGTGCCAGAGTGTGAATCTGATTTTTAAGAGATGAGCTGACAGAGGACTGGTTGTTGGGTATGCACCTGGAATTTCTTCTTTCAGGATACATCCTAGGGTGATCATTACAATGTTTGCAAATAGTAGGGAACTATTCCTCTGAAGCTTGCCCAAGATGCATTGTCTGAGGCTGAATCTTCACCTAACTCACCTGTTGAGTTCCAGAATGTGCTTGCAAATTTAGAATGCAGTAAAAAGGGTGATGATGTATATGTATACACCTATACTTGACAGATGTAGTCTCCTGACCAAGAAGATGGAGAAGCTGAGTGGAATAGAAAAACCTCAGTAATGTCACAGTAATACCTTGCTAGAAGATAGCCTCGTGTTTCTGGCAAAAGTTCTGTGTGGAGTTATGAATGATTGTGGAAGGAGAAAAAAGCTCTTCATTCACAGTCTATTCAAATCAATTCTTGAAATCGTAAACTCAGTTTATAGATATGAATATCACACAGATATATATACGTATGTCATGCATAAATCTTTATTCCCATAATTCTCTTCCAGAACAAGTTCAGTTTCTTTAGACTAATGTTACACTTAGCTTTGTTTAAAAGAAAAATATTACTGTCAGATTCCTCGTTTGCAGTTTGTCAGTAAAACATTACATGTTAATAATATGTGTATGGGGCTTGTGACTGACTGATTATGTTTGGAAATTAGAGACACTTGTGCCAAACTTTTCTTCTAGTATATGAAGCCAACTTGGGTCATGTAGTCAGTACAATTTGCTGAACCTGGTTATGTCATGGTTAGAACAGTGCCGAGTATCTACTTGAATTATATTTAAATTAATCGAACCATCTCACAGTATCACTGACTTACAGAGGTTGGAAGGGACCCCTGGAGATCATCCAGTCCAACCTCCTTGCTAAGCAGCTTCCCCTCAGTTAAGTTACATAGGAAACTGTCCAGGGGGTTCTCAAATATCTCCAAAGAAGGAGACTTCACTACTTCTCAGGGTAGATTGTTCCAGGGCAATGTCACTCTCACAGTAAGGAAGTTTTTACACATGTTAATTTCAAACTTCCTGTCTTCCAGTTTCTGCCCATTGGCTCTTGTTCTGTCACTGGGCACCACTGAAAAGAACCTACCTCCATCATCTTGACTCCCACACATTAGGTATTTATTAGCACTGATAAGATCCCCTCTCAATCTTCTATTCAGGCTCAGAATAGACTCAGATCTCTCAGCCTTTCCTCATAACAGAGATGCTTCAGGCCCCTCATCATCCTCGTGGCTCTCCACTGGACTCTCTAGAAGTTCTTTCTCGAGCTGAAGAGCCCAGAAGTGGATACAGTGCTGCTCAAAGAGAGCTGCTTTGCTTTACTGAGTGAGAAAATTAATAGGATTAATTGGCCATGCCTGTTAATGCTATGTTAATGTTATATGCCTGAAACTGATTGACATATGAAAGAATTAACACAGAAATTTCATATACTTATGAACATAAAGTAATGATTTTTTTTTTTTTCTACCAGAAGTAAAATACAATACAGCTTTGTTGTGACAAGTCTGTGGGCATTCACTCAGCCTGGTGTAATTCTGCTAGGCTGCTTCTTAAAACTGCAAATTGGCCAAAATGTTAGCAAATATTAGCTGGTACAGGGTCTCTCATTTCGGTTAAGCTTATGTGAGTTTAGAGCATCTGAACATCTTTCAGGTTTTTGGTAAATGGCAACATGGTTTTAGTTGTTATTCCCTTTGTATATGTGTTGAGATTTGAAGATCCTCTTGGTCTTCTGCTCTTCCCTTTACAGATTTAGCCCCTCCAGGCTGGAAAGGCACTTGCACAGAAGGAGCCACGATTGGTGTTGTGTTACTGTCTCTCACCAAAGAACACATGCATAGCCATAAGGCTGCCGTTAAAGACCTCAGCCTCACCTTCCATAAAGGCCAAATAACAGCACTTTTGGGACCTAATGGAGCTGGCAAAACAACAGTTATGTAAGTTTGCCTGTTAATGGTGTTATGCTCCCTTCTGGTCTCTGCTATGCTTTTTTACTTTAAAACTTTTATTATCTCTTTCCTGCATTTATTTTTGTTTATGCTATTTTTAAAATAAATATTATCCTTCAATTTTTAAACTCCTCATAACATGTGAAATGTGAAGGCAATATGTCTATGACAGAAGCAATGCAATGAATTATGTTCTCTGTGCCACTGATACCATGATGAAATTGGTCAGTAGCATGCTTGGGCGTGCTTGGTTGTGGAGATGAGCACCTCTCATGAAAGTGTTCTTTTCTGGCATTCTGCCATTCTGGTACTCCAGTCACACAGAGTATGTGGAGCCTTAAGGGTTTTTATGTCTTGCTTCTAGTTGTTGCAGGAGGCTTCCTGACCAGAGACTGAAATAAAATGAAAAATATCTGAATTAAGAAGTATGTGTATTTCTAATTTTTTAATAATTCTGATCAACTTAAGTAAAACCAGTGATGTAGAACAGGGAATCCATTAGAAATTAGTCCTCAATGAGAATATACATGTGGAAAAAGAAATGATGGACTGTTAAATTTGTCTGGGAAAAGTGACTCTGGAAGTGAGGGAGTGAAGGGTTGTTGAGATCTTGAAGGGGGAAAAAAAAAAAAAGAGCCAAAAGCATTAGCAGTGTTCCTCTAATTGTTAAATTGCACTGATGTTGCTGCACTGATGTTAAGATGTGCCTCAGGAAATCATAGAATCATAGAATGGTTTGGTTTGGAAGGGATCTTTAAGATCATCTAGTTCCAACTCCTATAAGCAGGGATACCTCCCTCTAGACTGGGGTGCTCAAAGCCCCATCCAGCCTGGCCATGAATGCTTTCAGGGAGGGGGCATTCATAACCACCATGGGCAATGCGTTCTTTTGTCTCACCACCCTTCTAGTAAAGATTTTCTTCCTGATATCTAGTCTAAATCTACCCTCTCACACTTTAAAACCATTTCCCCTTCTCTTGTCTGTTTGCCCTTGTACAAAGTTCCTCCCCAGCTTTCCTTTAGGCCACTGACAGTTACTGAAAGCCTGCTATAATGCTCTTCCCAGAGCCTTCTCTTCTCCAAACTGAAGAGCCTCAGCTCTCTCAATCTGTCCTCATGGGGGAGGTGCTCCAGCCCCCTGAAAATCTTTGTGGCCTTCCTCTGGACCTGCTACAACAGCTTCGTGTCATTCATGTATTAGGGGCACCAGAACTGGATGGAGTACTCTAGGTAGGGTCTCACAAGAGCAGAGTAGGTGGGCAGAATCACCTCCCTTGATCACACTTCTTGTGATGCAACCCAGGATACGGTTGGCCTTCTGGGCTGCAGGTGCACAATGCTGGCTCATGTTGAGTCTCTCGAGAGTCAATACTCCCCTTTTGCTCAGGGCTGCTCTCAAGCCATTCTCCACTCAACCTGTATCTGTGCTTGAGATTTCCCTGACCCACATGCAGGAACTTGCTCTTGGCCTTGTTGAACTTCATGAGGTTGTCATGGGCCCACCTCTCAAGCCTGACCAGGTCCCTCTGGGATGGCATCCCTTCCCTCTAGTATGTCAACTGCACCACTCAGCTTGGTGTCATCTACCAGCTTGCTGAGGGTGCACTTGATTCCACTGTCCGTGTTGCCTACAAAAATGTCCAGTAACACTGGTCCCAGTACCGATTCCTGAGGAATGCCACTTGTGACTGGTCTTCACTTGGGCACTGAGCCGCTGACCACAACTCGGAGTGTGACTGTCCAGCCAATTCCTTATCCAGCAAGTGGTCCATCCATCAAATCCATTTTTCACCAATTTGGTGATCAGGATGTCATGTGGGACAGTGCCAAATGCTTCGCAGAAGTCCAGATAGATGACATCAGTTGCTCTTCTTTTATCCACTTTTATCCACAGTGCATTACCTCCTTCATAAAAGGCCACCAAGTTTGTCAGGCAAGACTTACCCTTGGCAAAGTCATGTTGGTTACCACCAGTCACATCATCTTTATTTCCATGTGCCTTAGTAGGGCCTTCAGGAAGATCTGCTCCATGATCAGGAACGGAGGTGAGACTTACTGGCCTGTAGTTCCCTGGATCTTCTTTTTTTCTCCTTCTTAAATATGGGAGTTATGTTTCCCCTTTTTCAGTCACTGGAAACTTCACGAGACTGCCATCACCTTTCAAATATGATTGATATTGTCTTGGCAGCTTCATCTACCAGTTCCCTTCGAACCCATGGATGGGTTCTCTGTATCCAAGTGTGGGATATACTTATATGCTGATTTTCTTTCCTTTTCTTGCACCAGATCATTGTTGACTGGTCTGTACCCACCCAGCTCTGGTACCATTCTTATCAATGGAAAGGACATACGTACTGACCTGGCTGCCATCAGGACAGAGCTGGGTGTTTGCCCACAGTATGATATTCTGTTCAACATGCTAACAGTACGAGAGCATCTGCTCCTTTATGGATCAGTGAAGGCACCTGGCTGGACAAATGAACAGTTGAATCAGCAAGTCAGTGGGTAAGAATTCTTTCCTTTGTTGTCAAGTAAATCAGTCATCTATTGCAAAACACTTAAGCAGAAGTGCTAAAGCAAAATTGGAAAAAGAAGTAACTGGAAACTGCAAGATTGATTTCCATGAGTTTTTCTCACACTTTGCATTCTGAAATTGATTTTCTAGTTTCTAGCCTTTTCTTGCATATATTTGTAGTGAAACTGTCAATGTTTAAAAATCTGGTACACTGAACTATCAAATGATCATGTTTTGATTGGAGCAGAGATAGTTAGCCTGGTAGCAGCTGTAGTGGTTTCTACCTCATGCTGTCTGCCTTACCTTCTTACTGTTGCTGGATAGGCAGGTGGAAGCTAAAATGATGTTTTCACCCTGAGATTTCACTTAAGTATACATTGACTTCATTATTTTTTATTCCTCTTACATTTCTCTGAAAATTAGTAACAAAATGTATACTCTTTTAATAGTGTGCCATTGTAAATATTGCTTACCTTGTGATGCCTGCTAGCCTTTGGGGAGGGCTGGGCATTTCTACATGTCAGTGGAAATGCCATACTGATGGAATTTTTCTTGAGACTACAATTAGGCATATGCAGATTGATTTGAGGCAAGGTGGCTTTCCTTTTTAGTAGCTATTATAAAATCCTGTTAGTTTAAAATTTTGATCTGAAAAACCTCTGGCAAGAGACGCTGCAACCTCTCTAGAAACAAAATAAATGATTCTCCAAAACAGCAAGGGAAAACCAAACATAGTGCTTAGTTAAAATTTATACAAATATACAAATTTATTTTATTGTACTTAGTCTGCTGATCTGTAATTGCAGCAGCAGCCTGTCATAGTAATGGCACATAAGCATGCTCAGGTCCCTGCAGGCTTTGTCTCTTAGATAAAAAATAATACTATAAATAGCATAAAATGCTTCATATAACAATAGGAAAAAAAGAAAAAAAGTTTTTCATTAAAGAAATAAAAAGAAGGCAGCTTTTAGAGAGATTAACAATCATCAGTTTCCTGGATACATATCTCTAAAGCAACTACAAAAAAAAAAATTAATCTGCATGTTCACTCAAATGATTCAGGAGATTACTTTAGGACCATTGAGCCTTTTATATCTTGTTTGCCAAGCTGAAAGTAACTGAAAGCTTTTTGGTCAATGACCAGACATTCAGTCTGATGAAAAGTAAGTTAGCGGTCTTCAGTGCTGACTTATTGGGTGCATGCCCACACCCTGCTCAACCGCAGAACAGTTGAAGGGCCGCACAGTGTGTGTGTGTAAGGAACCCCCAGTCCTTCATACAAGAACCTCTAAGCAGCTTCAAGTAGGTTACCCGATCTTCTACCTGGATATTGTTAATCTGTTTACTTCAAAGAAGCATTTCTTAAATAACAATAATAACAGTAATAATAAAGCAGTGCTACAAGAAGTAGTGTTACCCTATCGTTTACTTCAAATGTTCAGATGACTGCAGGCGTTTTTAAAGTTGATTACAAGTTGCAAAAACTGATGCACTGTTTGAGTTGTGAAACTAACAATCTTTACGCATGGTTTAAGGGCCTATAATCTAGAGTTTGCTTAAATCAATAAGCAAACTAGTATTTATTCTGTTGAATTTAATTTCAAAATTATTCTTATCCTGCCCAGCACTGTTACAGAATAATTCAGCAGTGACAGGTATTATTGTTCATAGGTAGAAAATAAAGCTCTCTGTTTTCTATTAATTTTTGTCACCAAAATCTAAAATCAGTCAGAGGTATGTTTTGTTACTTTTCCTTCACAAACTTCTTGATCATTCTGTAGTGAATGGATGTGAGATGACCCGAAAGCTTTTCCAAACTTGGTCAAGCATCTATATTCCTTTTTTAGAGCTCTGGAAGATGTGGATTTATCCCAACACCAGTACAAACCTGTTGGAGCCCTTTCTGGGGGAATGAAAAGGAGGCTGTCGATTGCCATTGCCTTTATTGGAAACTCAAAGACTGTTGTTTTAGATGAGCCCACCAGTGGAGTAGATCCATGTTCCCGCCATAGCATTTGGGATGTTATACTGAAGTACAAAGCTGGTACAAAGTTTAGATGCATTATTTGTTCCTTATTTTCCATTCTGAAATTCTGTTTCAATAAATTTAAACACAAAAGTTTGAATATTAGTATTGCTATTTGGTAACTAAATACATTAATTTCAGAACAAACATTTAATCAATTCAGGAAACTTAAAAGCAGCCAAGTGAGACAACAAGAATTACCTCTTAACTCACAGAAATATGTCTAATCCAATAGGTTCATTTTAGTTTTGTGGACCTTTCCTAGAATTTCTATTGTCTTTCGTTTGTTTGTTTGCTTCTCAAAGCCTTCTTTTTCCTGGATTTTATTTCCCATTTTGTACATATCTATATGTATAGTGACGATTTTCTGATGATGATAGACTCATCAGTCAGTCTGCAACATTAACTTTTTAAGTGCCTTGAGGTGAAAAATGGACTGTGGGGAGTAAGACTTGTCAGCAAGTGAGCACTCAATTAGCTGTAATAAACCACAGTGAATAATCCAACAGACACTGCTGTTGTGTGGTTTTAAAAAGTTAAGTTTTTATAGAATAGCTTGAACTTATAGTAGGCAGTGTCAAGCCATTACGAATAATAAAAGGAAAGATAGCTTAGACCTGAGTCTAGAGTGCCTACTGAATGTAAATCTTGAATAGAGGTTTTGTTTGTGTCTTGGGCTATGTTTTGAAGGGACCTGAAACACATTCTCTCAAGGTTAGAGTATCTTCCCGAAAGGCAGATTTATTTCTGTGGGAGCAAGGATTTGTAGATGTACTAATCTTTCTGACACAGGTTGCACACTGATCTTTACTACTCACCATCTTGATGAGGCAGAGGTGCTCAGTGATCGCGTTGCCATTCTGCAACAGGGACGACTGAGGTGCTACGGTTCTCCTTCTTATCTGAGAGAAACATATGGCCAGGGACACAGTCTAACGCTCATAAAAAAGGTATACTGAAAATGTATTGTGCAAAACTTAACAGTGCCTGCCAAGTAATAGTTGGTTATATTCCAAGGATATTCTAGACATACTCTTCCCTGCCAGGAAGTAATATATGAGAGAGAGACAGCAAAAAAAGGTTTTAATAATTTTTCTTATTATTTATTATGAGTATTTTACTTAGAAGAATACAGGGACATCTCTGAAAATGATGAATTTAAAGATTTAACTGAAATTTCAGTGTTCTTTATTCCTGTGAGGTAGTCTTTTTGTCCCAGGTTAGATGATGCAGTTTCGTCAGTGGAGATTTTCATATATGAATTCTACCATCAAGTTCTTTGCTTCTGCTAACTTTTTTTTTTTTTTTTTTTTTTTTTTGTTGGGTTGTGTGTTTGTGTGTGTATGATTTTTTTTTTTATAGCCCTCTGTGTTTGAAATCCAGGATCCTAAGCATGTTGTCCGGGTCACGTCATTTGTACAGACTCACATTCCAGAAGCTTTCTTGAAAGAGAACAGTGGGACTGAACTAACCTATGTGATTCCGGAAAGGGCAGATAAGACCTCTTTTAACAGTCTTTTCCAGGCTTTAGATCAAAACCTTCACCATTTACATGTGACTGGCTATGGCATTTCTGACACCACCTTGGAAGAGGTATTTCTAGTTTTCTTTGTAATGGCACACTCATTTTAGAGAATCTTGTGTTTGCTTCTATTTGCCTTTGATTGTATCTGTCATATTTCACAACAGTTTCTTGTGAGAAGCTTGTTTAAAACAAACAAACAAAAACAAACAAACAAACAAACAAAAAAAACCCCCAAAATCTATACTTTGTATTTTTGCTGTTACTATTAAAATAAAAGGCCAGTCCAGAACAATGACTTTTGCCAAGAATCTGATGTGAATCCCAAGGAACTGTATAAATCATAAAAAGTTTTCTCTGCATTTAACAAAAGAAAATTTGTGTCTGACTTGATCAAAACTGCTATTGTTGTCCTAGATGTCTAGCATCTGAATGAACTTCAAACTTGTAAGATCGAAAGTTTGGTTCAGATAGCTCTGTGGAGAGGAAAAAGAAATACTTTACAGAAAATACTTTTTGAATTGCAAAGATCTAAATCTTAGGACTTCGCATAACATTGCAGGAAATCTCTAAGGAATATTGTGTGTGTACTGAGGAGGAGGGGAGAGGGAGAGAGAGATGAGCACTTACGTATACATGCATTTTTATGCATATATATATATATATATATATATATACACACATATGCACACACTAAACAGAGCAGAGAAGGGGACTCTGCATGCTACTTCATCACTTTGGAATTTAGCTGTGTAACTAGTCATACCAGTGAGAAATTGTGTTCCTTGGATTGTTTTTACCTGGACTATAACTTCTAAACATCAAGATTATAGATCATTTTGAAAATAACACCTTTTTTCTACTTCAGGTGATGATAGGAGACTAATGTCAGTTTTTATGATACAAAGACTACACTACTTTTATTTGATGGTGCAATTCACTCAGCATCACTTTGTGAAACCGATTTCTCCTGTGACTACCTTTAATGACTACCTATACCTATAAAGACAGACAGTGTTGGACAGTATTTCTAACAGAAAAGTGAAAGATACATTAATTAAAAACCCCACTCCAATAACAATATATGAAATACAGATGCCTATGAAGTGTTATCTTTTAATATACAGCAGTAAACTGTATAGAAGTGTCTCCCTCTGTTTCATGGAAATGTATAAGATGTTATGTAGTGTTGTAGTCAGCTAGAACACAAAGTCCCCCACGTAAAATACTTTTCACAGTTTTATGAAGATGAGGCTTCTGAAGGCCTGTCAGATGCAGTTATGCATTGTATTTTTACTGTGTGTGATATTCGTATGGGAATTAATGGCGTTAGATGTTTGAAAGTGTCAACAGTTCTGAGTTTGATGTTAGTAGTTTAGAATCACTGCTCATACATAATCTGTGGGGAAAAAAATAAAGAGAACCTTATTATTGTAAGTAAAATCTCAAATGTCAGTTGTTCAAGAAATTAATTGAACAGATTCACCACCAAGTGGAGCTGCTGTACCCTGAAGTGATCCATTGGAATATCTGTTTAGGACTTATGTGTTCATATACTACAGACTTTTTAGCAGGCTTTATAAGTGTAAACATTTTGTTTTTAAACTGCAGTTCAGAGAACACTATGACAACACATGTATGTTTTATTTTGAAGTGAAGCTCTATATAACTAAGATTTTTTATAAAGAGAAATAAAGAGCCTCCATGTTGATTCTCTCACATATGAACACAGTAGGTTAGCTGATGTGGCAATGGACGAGGGGGAAAAAAAATATATAATACAGGTTTATAAAGCGAAGTCTGTCTCTTCTATGTGTAATTCTATGAGGTGAGTCAAAAACTATTGGAAAACCCTGTAATTTTTCTTTCAAATTATATGGGGTGATTAACATGCTGTAAGTAAGAATAATATTTACTGCCAGCATTTATAGATTTTAAGGCAATGCGTATACTGACAAACTTTTTTGGTACATCCCTATGTCCCTTTGGGGCATCCTAAGACTTTGCAGAATTTGTAAAGGTGAAGATGTCTCTGGAAGAATTGGAGACTTCTTTAGTTGTGCTTCATCTGCTATTCAGTTGTGAGCTTTCTTCTGCTTGTTTTCTGTAGGGAGGGTTAAAATAATAAGCTTTAAAGATGGTATTTGATATTGGTGTATCATTCTTCAGCTTGAAGACTTAATGCATTAATTTAGGATGATTTCTGCCATCTCCGTGTCTGATCATTAGCTGCTACAACCTCCATACTCCATTTTCTTATCAAAAGCCTCTTTGCACTGGCAACTAAATGGATAGCACATAATAGTGCTATTTGGTCTATTCAAACAATTCAATCTGAAAACAAAGCACTCTGACTTTAAAGGAACAAATGTGTTACAGTCTTTATTTTACCCTTTGTTTTCGTTCTCTCATTCACTCACCATTATTCTTCTTAATGTGAGGGATACTTCCTCTTGCTAAAATCTTAGACTTCAAGGGAAACCTATTTGCCATTTGTTCTTCAAAAGAATTTTGAATTTCTAACAAAATAAGTTTCTGACACGTTCAAATCTCTCTAATATTATATTTGTTTCATTTTTTATTTAAAATCTTTTCCAACTCTTTTTGTGTACTTCATAATGTTTAGAATCCAAAGATAGGAGAGAAAAGAGGGGGATAGAAGAGGGGATACAGGGGGTGCATACTTGAACTATGTATATGCTGAATGCTCTCTGGAGGATGATGATTAACTTGCCAGCAATTCTGAGTTTCCAAAACTAACTCCTTTCTTGATTAGCATGGAGGAGAGTACTAAATCACTGAAACTTTGCAAAATAAGATGTGTCAAAATATCTCTTATTGGAATTTCTTTAAATTCACTTTAAATTGAAATAATCAATTGCCTCAAAACTTTCCCAAGAAAGGCCTTGACCTATTTTGGCCTTGAAACAGTATTCAGTTCAGTTTAGTGTGCTCTAACATCTAATAAGTACACAGTTATGTTAATCTGTTTCTTTGTGGTATTGCCACCTGTTTAGATCTTTTTCCTAGAGGGCAACACGTCTTCTACACCTGTTCACAACCTGGTGGTTTGAAAGAAGCTGCCTGACTGGTAGCTGCTGCTTGCCACTAATGCTATCCTCTTAAACAGCCAGCATTATCTCTATCCCCAGGAATGGCAGAGATGGTCCTACAGAATCAGGCATGCAGCCAGTTCTCAGGGCCAAGCGCTGGAAGTGAGCCAGGCTACTCCTCTCTTATTTTAAAGGAGGAAATTTTATTTCCTGGAAAGCACAGGTTTTCTGTTGCTCTGAGCTGTCAAATGGCTTCCAATTGATCTTAATCTTGTGTGCTTTTTATTTTTTTCCAAGAACTTTCTTCTGTCTTCTGTTATTACTTTACCTTTTACCCTCACAAATTTGAGTATGCTTTTCCAAGCGTTTTTTTTGTAAATAAACTGTAAACAACAATTAACATTTCCCACTCAAAAATAGCTAAGATACGCACAGGATTTGTAGAATAAAAGAGCAAAAAAACAATGCTAAAATATCAGAGTATAGCATATGTGTCAGCAAAATGCTGTGGGCTGGTTTTTTTTTTTTTGTTTGTTCTTTTTTTTTTTTTTTTTGAGTGTATGGTAAAATCTGATCTTTAAGTGATGTGTGATTACAGACAAACTTTTTCTTCTTTATCCCTGGGAGAAATTTTGATGCTGATCTGACTATGTGCAAGTGACAACCTGTAGATTATTTATTGTCCTAGCCATAGGGCAGTAGTTCTTTGTGGTTTTAGTCTGTACAGTTTGCTTTGGTTTGCTTGATGGATTTGGTGTGCAGATGAGCTGCCTGCAAGCAGGCCCAAAGCAGCAAATTAGAATATGGCTTTGGGCAGCCAGGATCTCCCTGCAGGGTCTAACAGAGAAATGTCAGGAGGTATTTAATTTCTTCTATCCCTGCAATTGCTCGTGGCCAGAAACATTCCCTGAAACTTGACAGGTAACAAATGCAATCAATAATGACAATTAAATGGCAATTACATTGACTAAGATAAGCTTAGTTTATATAGCAGTCAGCATATATAAACTCAGCAAATCAAGAAATATATTTCCACAACAATGAAATACTTCAAATTGTTTGTGGGTTGTGGTTTTTTTTTGTTTGTTTGTTTGTTTTTCCTATAGCACAAATTCCTTAGAAACGTGGAATTTTTTTTTTTTGTTGTTTGTTATAGCTGGTATTGAGTTTTTTTGCAGAAAGAAGCAAACAGCTTCTTAATGATTTTGGAAAGTTTTAGTGTAGTTATAATTGGTATCTTGCAGTTCAACTCAAACAGAGCAGAGAAGGATTTCATCAAGAGAAAGTAAATCTTGGTTGTAATTTTGCTGTTCAATTAAAGATGCTAACAGTAGCTGTATTTTCTGTTATTTATTTATTTATTTAATCTGGATTTCCCAGGTTACTGTTTCAATTGCAGTTCAGATTAGGATATTTTAAATTTTATTTTTCATTTGAGTTTACAAAAAGTGGGCTGAGCATTAATAACCAAGTCACCATGAAAGCTGCTCTAGGCTTCATCAATGCTGAGAAAATGAGAAATGAAATGCATCTCTATAAAATTCAAAGGACTTTATGTGTATTGAACTATGAAACAGGATTAAGCATGCTGTAGGGAGAGTAACATAAATCTGTTTAACAAAGTGCATTTACTAGGTAATAGATCTCATTGTAAAATTGGTGTAATCTGTTTCTTTTAATGTTATCATTGGCTTCTTCATGATGTGTATGTATTTCCCCACTTAAGAAGATCAAACTCTTATTATTTTTGTCCAGTGAAGATTTTTAGATTGTTATGTTTATTAAAATAAAATAATTTTCGTGTTTCACACAGTGTTTTTTTTAGATAACAGGATTTTCATTAGATCAACAGATGAGCATCATCTTCCAATCTGGAGTATGCATGCTAGTTGTTTTGCTACAAAGCATACGTTAAAATTGATTAAAATTAATCTCCTTTTTCATATTCAACGTCAAAGGACATTTATCAGTTGCTAAGTGATAATGGCAGTGGTACAACTAGAACTCGTAGCAGATCCAGATGTCCATGTCCATGTCCAACATGCTCCAGTGTCCATGAATTTCCAGCTTGAGTATCAGAAAAGACTTGAAGCTGCCCATATACTCTTGATAAAAACTAAAGGAAACAAGTTCCTATACATGCCACAGTTTAGGAGCAAAAATGTCAAACAAGCATAGCCAGTCTATTGAAAACTCTTATCAGAAAGTTGGTGACTAGGACAACAGCACTTTTTATAGGTGGAGTATATTGGAATTTATTTCTTGCCCCTTATTCTCAGGGATACCTCTTCCAGAGTGTTTGAATAGTTTTATATTCATTCTCCAGCAGAGTGGCCACTACAGCCCCTACTACTGTCTTATAATGGAAAGCTACATACAGTTTAAAAATGGGTAGTCTATAGAAAATTGAATCTAAATCATTTTTTCTACTCTCTGAAAGGTATTTTTGAAGCTACTGCAAGACTCGGAGAAGATGCCATTTGTTCCACAAGGAGCATATCCGAACAATGCAAAAGATGCTGAATCAGCCTGTAAGTAAAAAATTAAATACTTTCTGAGGCAGAAATCCAAAGATCCAAGCTTGCACCAAGCTTCTAGACTTGAGAGGTGCATAAGCAAATGGAGAACACTGTCTATAACAATCTGGTAGTAGCTTTATAACTATTATGCTTCACCTAAATATCACTTGACAATTTTCTTCCCATCCTTCTAAAATATGTTCACATGCACACACTTTCTCTTACTGCATCAGTGCTCACGTACTTCTTGCTACCACTCTCTGACAACTAATTACCCCCTTTAACTCACAGTGGATAAATATTTCTGAGGTACACAATGCATATATTATGTGGGATCAGTTAGAAAGATATACTCATTTCCATCTACGTTCAAATAATAATAATGAAATTTGTTTCCTCTGGTATTAGAAAGTGCTTTTCCTCTTCTTTGACATGTTGTTTCAGATTCGCTTGCTTATTTTTCAAAGAAACAGCTGCATTTTTTACATGCCTGCCTGCAAGCACAGGAAGAGCTCCTTATTAACATTTGTGAAAGCCTAAGGAAGCTTGTTCTCCTTAAAAAGTCTTGTTAGAAGTCACCGATGTGATGCCTTGCAAAATGCAGGCCCCAAGGTTGCTGATGTTGCTTGCCCACCAGGCTAACCAGTATTTTCTCATTGTTCCTGATAGTCTTGTCTATATAATTATCATGTTTTTTTCTGCTTGAAGATTTATGTCTAGATTATAGAATTCTTGGGTTAGGAGTACAGCACTTTGTTCTGTATGGAGTATTTTGCCTCGGTTTTTGTAGAACATGGGCACAGCGGCTCCTGGTCTATGAATATGGATTTTTATTATTCCGGCAATGGAAACAATAATTTTGATCTAATCTATTATTATTTGTTATAATAACTTCAATTGGATCTGCCAATAGTGAATAATCAGTGCCAAGAACTGTGGCCTAAACTGAATCCTTTCCTATCAAAGTGTGAACTTGACTGGATAACGTTTGGGAATGGTTTTTTTATTGGGATATTTCAGCTCCTGTTGAAATAAGGAAAATATAACTATATGGTGTAAACAAAACAACAACAAAACAACAAAAAACTTCAGTAGGAAAAGAAAATTTCCACAGTAAGTGGTGAGAACAAGATTTCTGTTTAAAAGGTAGTTTTCAGTAGCTCTTTTTAAAGAAAATAACAGTCAGTTGTGCATTTATTCAAGGCTCAGATAGGATTTTCAAACCTGTTTCAAATCAAGTGTCTTCTCCACATTGCATTTTCAATAAGAATAAGATTTTACCATTCCTAAACTAATAAAAATGCAGTATACTGTATTTAAGAACTTGATATCTTTTGTAATCAAACTGTTTAGTACTTGTCACATTTATAAAGAATCGAGTAATCAGAGGCCCTATGTTTTCAGTCTGATAAATTATAGTAAGAAATTGTGCTAATAATGCCATTTCTTTAGGGATGATAGTGCTAGAAAATTGTCATTCAATGCAGATGACTGTCATTCTTCATTAAGGACAGTTGTGAAGTGTAGGCATAAGGGATCTGGAAAATGGTCATGAAGGTATCCATCATTGTCAAAGTTAACCAGAATACTCTGTGGGCAATAGCTTGACCTGTATAATTTTGAAAGCAAATTCAAAGGCAGTCAAACTTTCTTTTGTCAAAGTAGTTAAATGAATTTTCAAAACCCCCCACAGCAAAGAGTTTGGTTATTGGGAAGATCACAAGATACTGCTATTTGATTTATGAAAGAATTTGCATTAGAGAGCTCCATTTACAAAGTGTAAGACAAGAGTGTTGAGTATCCTTTGGTGGTACTGAGGCCTTGAGGACTCAGGTTTGTGTAGAAATCAAAATGTTATGTTTTATCTCCCAGAAAAGTTGGTGTATTGGAGCTGTGTCCCATTTTAAATAAGTAGAGAAAATGAATGAAACCAGTTCATGACTTTGGCTGATGACAATGTCAAGACTCAAGAAGCATCTGCTAGGTAAAACAGAATAGTATGTTACTGAAGCTAGAGCTTTGATACTTTCTAGTCTTATTTTACAGTGATTTACTATGCTACATCTGGCAGCTGGTAGGGTGCTGTGTTTTTAATGGTGACTAAAACAGTGCTGATGACACACCAGTGTTTTGACTACTGCTGAACAGTGATTGCTGTGCCAAGGCTTTCTCTGCTTTGCACTCTGGCCCCCTGTGTACTGCATGTAGGCTGACTAGGCTGAGGAATATACAAGAAGCTAGGAGGGGACACTATTTGGACTAGAGGATTATTCTACTCTTTACAATCACTGTTTCACACTATATAGTGTCAATATTGTGTCAACCTCAGCAATAAAAACTGAGGGGAGATTTTTTGGGATGGAGGTAGTCGTTGCTTGGAGACTGCCTGAACGTCTACCCGTGGGAGGTACTTTACAATTGTCTTTGCTTTTTTTTTAATATATATATATATTATATATTTATACATTTATACATTTATTATTAATATTTATGCAAATATTTATAAATATTTATTTAAATATAAATATTTATTTATTTATTTATTTATTATTTATATTTTATATATATATAAAAATTTTCTTCCTCTGCCCTTCACTTACAAAGATATCTTTATACTGACATGTGAGTTTTCCTGCTTTGATGCTATGGGGCTATTGGAGAGAGAGAGTGAGCAGCCGTGTGGTGCTTAGCTGCTGGCCAGAGTCAACCTCATCTCTCCTCTTGTGCCAGATAAACTCAGAATTATTTGACTATCTCTAAATGGAAATATTACTGGGAATTAGAAGTCCATTAATTTATTTGTAATGTATACATATAAATTAATAATGCAATTAACTTTAAAAATATAAAACATATTCAGTGTAACTTCTAGTAATGTTTCTTAGCAGAAATTTTACTCATTTTTAAAATTTATTTGAAGGAAAATCTTGGAATAAAACTTACATTTTCTTTTCATGAGAAAAGTTAAGATTTTCATTTTAAGTCATGGTATGCCTACGTATGCAGACATAACACATGTATATATTATAAAATAGACATGTATAATTCATTTCTACGTAGCTGGGTGATGATTACTGTTTTGTAGCTGTGGAAAAAAAGGATAGAATGAGTTTGCAATGACTGAATGATAAAATCATTTTAGCCAAATATCCTTCAGAAATGGAGAAGCCATTACCATAAACTACAGCAGGCAGTATGTGTTCAAATACAATCAGCAGATTTGAGAGCAAGTCCGTGGGGTCTATAGCTATAGTCCATGCCTAACCATGAAAAAATAGCAAATTTTTCTAAGCATGTGCAGAAGTAGAAAGTAGGCTACAGAATGGATTCACTAAATTGGTAAAAGACTAACAAAGGAATGTTTAGATATTCAGATATCTTGCTGAAGAACCAAATGAGTCTTGTTGGATTTTATGTCTTAGACATGTTTGGGAGATACCGGCTTTGGTACAAAACTCTTCAAAAAGTTATGTACAGTTGGAACTATACTCTAAAATCAGAGTTTAAATGAAAGTAAATTACTGGAAATTCAAAATAAATGATAATTTTTACATGCAGTGATACATAATATTGGAAATTCATTGTCATGAAACTTTATAGGGACTGACTGTGATAAAATAGCTCATGGATGTGCTATTAAAGCTTATTTATCTTTATACTGCTTGGTTAAGTTAGCTACTGAAAGTGTTGGAATGGAAGAAGGTTGATGCATATCTAATTTTACTAGTTGTTTAAACCTGAAGCATACATTTTAGTCTTCTGGTAACTTAGCAGTATAGATAATACTTTACTACAAATTTAGCACTAGAAACTAAGAAAGAAGTGCCAAAACAGCTCATCTAGAAGTGTTAGGTACATTGATTTCCTTCAGATCGTTTACTGCTGTTTTAACTAATTTTTTAGAGGAAATATTGTGATTCTGGCATATGTTGAAAATTTCTCCTCTTCCAGTTCCTTACTTTCTTATTTCTCAACCCCAAGTCTTGCTTCTTTTTTCTTTTTGTCACACTTTCAAGAATGTCCAAAGCATAGAATATTAGTAGTCATGAAAAGATTTCTGATTTCACAGGTCAGATCATCTAACTTGTTTAAAGTTAATATGCATTTTAATTTTCTCAGTAAGGACATAAATGTAGCTCCTTTTATCCTTCTGAAAATAGATGGTTAGGATTTTATGCTTCATATGTTTCATTCTTCATCTGCTATTTCTGTCATCCAGAAATGTTCCCTATCAGTTGCTTTCCTTGTGGTTGATACCTGGTCTTTTTCTTAGATCTTGGGCTTTCTGTTAGAAAGGTTCGTTCATTAAATGGCTATTAGCAAATGGAAAGATGGAACTCTTTTTCAGTAGAGAGAAGAATTCTCACAATGCCAAGAAGTTGACATGCTCCCTATTCTCCATTTTCTTTCCATCCCCATATTTGTCTTTACTGCTGGTAAATAAAAGAAATGAACCCTGCCTGCCTTGCTCATAGAGGCCTTTTTGCTTCTTTCATCCTTACTGATAAAAGTAATAAACTGCCTGCCAAAAGGGGCTCTCAATTAAAATATATGATTGTAGTTTTCTGCATGGATGAAAGCAGCTGAGAAAATAATCCCATCTGAAATTTCTGTTTTGAAATCATCATTTGCTCATGAATATATTCTGTTGATGGAATTGAGATAGTTCAATAGAAGGATAACCTTTGTGTGTTAGTAGTACCTGCTTTTCTTCACTGTGTAATTTAGCATTTTCATTGGTTCCTAAAATGAAAAACACTTAGACTGAGAAATATGCCTGAAGAAATGTCATGCATATATACATACAGAACAAGATGTGAGGTTGTGGTTTGAAATTTACTGAGTATTTCTCATTTCTAACTAATTGAAAATAATGAAGAAAAGTGTTGTACCATCTCATCTTATGATGGTAGAGATACTGCCTTTTCTATTCTATTTAGAGGAAGCATGATCATCTAGAGAGACATTTTTTGTGACAAGACAGGTGTGTTAACGTGATGGCGATGACTACA